CCAGGGAGTCCGGACCCCCCCTTGCTCGCGCAGAAAACGCATCTGAGGGGGTGTAATTTTAAAAAATTTCTGGGGGAGGACCCCCCAAACCCCCCCTTCGCGTGCTCGTAACTTTGTGTTACGGTTAGACCCCCCTGGTACAAATCCTGTACATGCCCCTGCCGAGCAAATTACAAACATTGAAAAACGAACCCCCCAATATAAAGCTGCCTACGGGCCTGTGCACACACTGTACTTATACTGCACTACGCACGCGTACGCACAGCTTAAGTACGCGCAGCACGCAGAGCCTAAAGGCCACCGCACACCAGACGATTTTTACAAACGATGAAACGATGAAACGATGAAACGATGAAGCGATGTAGGTGTGCGGCGGCCTGAATATGCGAGCTGAGAAAAAAATACAATGCGTCCAAGCGAACAATCAAGCGAACAATGCGAATTGAGTGTGGAAATTTAGGTCACGCGCACACCACAAAATCGCGTCCAAATAATCGGTTCAAAATCAAACATGTTTGATTTTGGAACGATCACCCGATAAAAATAAAATCGTCTACAAATGAACCCGCACACCTACATCGTTTCATCGTTTCATCGTTTCATCGTTTCATCGTTTGTAAAAATCGTCTGGTGTGCGGTGGCCTTAACGCACGCTGATAACCCAGAGCCGGTATACCGGACCGTACTCAGGGTACGTTCCGGCAGTAACCTGGGGGACATAGACCCTATGAGCGTTAGTTTTATGTATATATTTTATATAGTTTCTTTTATTCTTTTAGTTTAGTTTGCACTTTAGTTCTAAGTCTTTTTAATTAATAAACAGTTGATGTATTCTTTATGTAATATCCTAGCAGCTTGGGTTTTTAAAGGCAAAACTGTTGTCAGCAACATGAAGATAAACTAAAGATAAAAGCTAGTCGAGTGATGTTATAAGTGTTTAAATATCATTCAGCAATGTTATTTTTTGACTATTACCAGGTTGAAGAAAATGGAAATTTCTGTACGCCCTGAAAAAGATTCACTATTTCATATTCTTTATTCCTATTACATGTATTCATATTGATTCAAATTATATACTTCACTATAGTAGACATGTACATAGACATGTACTGAAAAGGTGTTATTTCCGTTTTTCTTCCATTTAAAAATTTGAAATTTTCACCTTCGATGTGCACCAGATCGCTCCATTTAAGTGCAAAAATTGAAAAAGCTTCCTGCCGTGTGAGGGGGGGGGGAACCCCCTCCCACACCCACCCCCGCTCGGTCGCCTGGCTCCCTCGTTCGTGCGCTTTGCGCCCCAAGAACTCAGCCCCCCGGCATGGTCGCTTCATTCTCTCAATTTGGCCCCCCCCCCTTTGAAAACCGTGGCGCCGCCCCTGTACTAGACCAGTCAGAAAAACCGTAAGCAAATCTTGTAAACTCAAGTGTCAAGTGGATGAAAGATGCAAATGTAAGACTGCTGTTTAACAAAGGAAAATATTTGAGGGACATCTGAAGGACATTTGAAGGCTACGTGTAATGTCCACACTTCACCCTTCTATGTTCTCTTGACCGTACGGCAGGAGGACCGTGTCAATATACACGTTCCAGAACTTAAGCAGTACTAGAATTTCGACGGAATCTCGAAAAGTAATGGTAAAGTTCTAGAAATATTTTGCAGAAACGACTAAACTTGCAGGCTCTTGGGTATCGCTATGTTCCTACTTCATGCAATTTCTAGAAGATTCTCACAGCCGTCTCATGCGGGGTTCCATGACAGTCTTACACGCACGTGTACACATTATTGTAAGTCCTTTCCTTCAGCAGGACTGAAGCAATGTTACTTCCATACTCGTCTGATATCACGATGTTTCCTTCTTGGCCATTATCCTGATCAATCTTCCCAATAATAGCATGATAGTTGGCGGCTATGTGAAAACCAGTCACACCGGGGTACAGCATTCTTGAATTCTCCAGGCTGCCTCAACTGGATCTACTTTACCTTCACGTAGATAACAAGATCAAATATTATTACACTGTGCTGTTTACCAAGTCCTTTAATACTCATGTAAACGTATTTTTTATCACCGTGTATATTGTACTGTACTCAGTATACCTTCATTCATCGGACAGTAATCAACAGTTGCGAGGGCCGGAGATAACACGTGAAAATCATGGTATGAAATCCACTCCAACCAGGCGCGGATTGCCGAATTGAATCGTCATAGTGGTACGAAGTCTACTTTAATAATTTGAAACTACACAAGTGGGTTAAAAACCACGCTAAATTCGTCTGAATAGTAGTCAAATACCATACAGTGAGAACCAATATCGAGTACAACGAGCGTAGACTACGTGACAGATAAATATACCTAAAATATAAATCTATGTAATTTTTTTGGTTTTAAGTTTTTCTCCGTTAGACAATATCAATATTATATTTGTACTCCAACCACCCATGGCTTTCATTTGATACATGATAACCTTTGGTACCAAGTCAGCCTAAACCCATATATACCCCTATGTAAATAAGGAGACTTAGGACTAGGATATATGTGACTTTATGACACAACTGAAGAGACCTAAAAGTATGTCTCCTAGACTACTGGGGACTGCTTCAGAGAGCGTTGTCGATTCCACAGTAAATACGTTGTGCTATATATATACTGTCAGTGATACTGTGTATATATGTGCTATATATATATACTGTGTATATATGTGCTATATATATATATTTTGTGTATATGTGCTATATATATACTGTGTATATATGTGCTATATATATACTGTGTATATATATGTGCTATATATTTACTGTCTATGTGCTATATATTGTGTATATATGTACTATACATACTGTGTATATATGTGCTATAAATATACTGTGTATATATTCGAACTATCAAACTCCTTTGCAAATGGATTGCCCGTGATGCTGTGGAGATGTAATGTTGACGTAAGCATATTTCTGTGTAATAGTAAGAGAAACTTAGATGATGTAACCGCCTAGCCATAATATTATTTTTCAATAAAATAATTGTTTTATTTCGCTCAAGTATTAAACACCTCAGAGAACACATGTCCACACAAACAGGAAACACATTCTAGACTGTACCAAACCAAAAAATTCATGGTTGGCATACAACAGAACCGCTGTCAACAAAAGTAATTATTCAATATACATACAGTTACACGCACGTACAAACGCATGCACATATGCAAGCTAGAAATGACACGGACATGGGTAAGAGTGGACCAGAGCCCATGGACACTGATTCCCTCTTTGTAAGCTGCTTATGACATTCATTCGTGATTATTGTCGATACAGATAAAGCACGAAAATCATATGAAGTGTGTTCCACTGAACGTGACATGAAACGCGAAAGTGATTTATATCTTCACAATATACGAACAGAAATACACTTACGAATACATATTACATGGAGAATGTAAAACGAAATGACAGATACAACCAATCGTTGAATATCTACAAATATCATATCTAAGCACACCTAATAACGCGCGTGAAGTTTTAGATCTTGCATAAAACTAGATTATAACATGTCTAATACACAATTACAAAGCCGGTGTATGTGATGATATAACCAAGTCAGCATGACCGCTGTTTACAAATCATACACGAACAAAACAAGGATCTCCTCCCTTTCTCTATCAGTTGTACCTACGTTCGTAAGCATCTTGATCTTCATCAATGAATCATTACATCTCTGAATTAAATGTATATCGAGTTACTTTCAGGGATACATCCTATGATCCTATTCTGCCCCCGGATATTTCACAACATATATAGACATGAGTCAGTGGGACGTTTGTAGAATACGTATTTTTCTTTACCAAAAGACGTACGTATCTTTCAAGCCTAGAAAAATGAACAGTTCCCTCTGAACCGTTAGCACAGCAGAAACAGCAGAGAAAATGGGCTGTAGCACAATATTAATGCAACATTGACTACAACCTCCGAGACAGTACCAAATGTAGTTCAGTCAAATGTAGGATCCTACCACAATCGAGTGAGATATCTGACAGCTTTTGTTGTCCCCAACGTCTAAATGTGTCTTTGTCATCCTACTTCAAAACGACCATTATTCACAAAACACTAATAACATACTTACAAAACATCCAACAACTACGATAGTAGAGAATATTTCACCGTCGAACATGAGACTACGCTAAGACCGCCCGATTGATTCACAGACGGATTTTTTCTTTACAACCTGCCCGTAAGTGAAAGTTTACAATGAGTAATGACGGATCCCCGTCATGACAATGCGTGACAACCGCAGGCGCCTGAAAGCCTGCCAGAGACTTTCTGAATACTTAATACGCCTGTGAACGTGGCTCTCCACGTCAGCTTGAGACCGTGAGCCTATACCCAGCCAACCGATGGCACTTCCCACTCCGTATCATACGGATCACGTCGCTGTCTTAGGTCCAGTGTGAGAACTGCTAATCTTGAGGCTCAGGTGGGGCAAGCAGGACTTGATGCAGTCACGTAGCGCAGACCACGTTCATGTCGGTGATATTTACAAGCAGCATGCGGTCCCCGCGTTCAGTTGTGCGTGGCATCGTCTTCCACAAAGTCCTTGGCCTCGTCCTTGCTCACACACTCGATGTGACTCACCTGGACAAAAGATTTCACATTGCACATTGGCTGATCACACAGAACGTGTTCGACTATCATGACAGACAATCGATATTACTCACCCAGACAAAAGATTTCACATTGCACATTGTTTTATCATACAAAACGTGTTGATGAAATAAAATAGCAAAGCAAGAAAACAACAAGGTTATTGCACGTGAGCGGACATCTATTTGGTATATCTTCTAGGTCTATCCACACCCTCGATTATTCAGGGTTTTTGTCGGTGAAACGCCTAGCCGGCTCACCTTATTCCTGAACTTGACACCGTAGAATTTGTCAGCGCTCTCCAGGAGTTCTGGTCGGAAGGTGGTTGTGATGAACTGTGCTCCCTGTGACATCTCATTGATGAGGTCAGCAACAGCCTGCATATAAAACAGCAGGCAAAACTACGTCAGACCAACTTCTCAACAGTACTGCATGACATACAAGGCCTAAAAAAAGACGTTTGTTTCCGCTAACCCGACCGAGTCCATTTCAAACCGCCGTGTCGAAACGTTTTATTGTGATCAGCAAAAAAAAGCATTGATTTGACTTTGAAGTCATTATATGGGCTGTTATAAATATAAAACAAGTATTGTTAAAATAAAAAAAATAAATAAATAAATTTGATAAAAAAAAAGTTTTGTCTGCCAACCGTGTCCAATTTTTTTCAGCTCGTTAGCGGAAACAAACATCTTTTTTCTTAGGCCTAATATCAGATACACTAGTCCCAGATTAGTGGCAAAGTTTATGTCAGAGCTACACCAGCTTCTCAACAATACTGCATGGCATATAATATCAGATACACTACATAGGTTGGAGCTACTCCAAAAAGATTGAGTTTAGTCCCAGATTAGTGAAAGTTCCGAACCATTAAATATGATATTAAAAAAGGCAAAATAATGCACATACTGCAATATTACTTGTACCAATACAAATTACAGACTTGACCAATGCTTACTGAACCTTGCAAGGGTTGAAAGTTGCAAGTAAAAAAATATAATCCATTGAAGTGCAAGGTTTTGCATCAAAAATGATCAAAACTGCACGTGCACATGCACCCCACTCCCGAAAGATTAAAACTGCATCCCCGCTGCTACCCACCTTACGATGCTGTGCGTCCAGCGCCTGATCGATTTCATCGAACAGGTAGAATGGCGCCGGGTCGCACTTCTGGATGGCGAAGATGAGGGTGAGTGCCACCATGGACTTCTGACCACCGGACAGTTGCTGCATCTCCTTCGTCTCACCCGTGTTGCCGGTGAACGACACCTGTGTGGATAACACCATAATGTGTAATCATGTGTTATATATATATATAGATATATATATAGATATATTCAGCATATATTTATATATAGCAGCTGTTCCAGATTCATCTACTGGGGTGAACACTAGAGGCAGGGGGAACCCTGGGGAAGCTAGAGGCACGGGGAACCCTGGGGAAGCTAGAGGCAGGGGGAACCCTGGAGGGGAGCTAGAGGCACGGGGAACCCTGGGGAAGCTAGAGGCACGGAGAACCCTGGGGAAGCTAGAGGCACGCGGAACCCTGGGGAAGCTCAATGCATGGGGAACCCAGAGGCACGCGGAACCCTGGGTTGTGTGTGTGTGTGTGTGTGTGTGTGTGTGTGTGTGTGTGTGTGTGTGTGTGTGTGTGTGTGTGTGTGTGTAAGCTATCAAATATATATGCCTGTCAGGCGCTGTTGATGTATATTGATCACATTAACGTGTAAGATTATACTTTTATATCTATATCAAGTGGCGTTGGTCAGGTGGTCAGCGGAAAGTGGCAGTCACCCGCTAAGCTAGGGTCAGGGTTAGGGTCAGGGTTAGGGTTAGCGGTAGGGGTAGGGGTAGGGGTAAGAGGGAAGGAGCCTTGACATTTGACATATGACATTTGACATTTGACCTTTGACATTTAGGAGTGCTTGTGCCTGTGCGCGTCAGTGTATATATGTGTGTCTAAGTGAGCGTAAGCGTGTGCGTGCGGCAAGCATTGGTAGTAGACATGGCGCTGTTAACTATTATGAATGCCTTGATAATAATTGCAAGCAGGCTGGGCCACGGCGACGAGACTGGTTAATTGGCTGGTGTTAGCTTCCTTGCCATCTCACTGTCTGTTAGCAGGAAATGCCGTATATAAGCCGGTCGAGCATGAGTTAACACAGCATTGCCAGATTACAAGTTGGTGAGTGATTGGTTGTGCTTAGCCGTTAATGTCGTCAATTGCAAGCCATGTAAATAGCAGAGGCCCCTGATTGGTCGGCTGCTACGAGGCTCCTGATTGGTCGGTTGCTATGAGGCTCCTGATTGGTTGGTTGCTAGCAGGCCACTGATTGGTCGGCTGCTACGAGGCCGCTGATTGGCCGGTTTTTACGAGGCCCCTGATTGGTCGGCTGCTAGGAGGGCCTTGATTGGCCGGCTGCTACGAAGCCCCTGATTGGTCGGTTGCTAGGAGGGCCCTGATTGGTCGGCTGCTAGGAGGCCCCTGATTGGTCGGTTGCGACGAGGCTTCTGATTGGTCAGTTGCTAGGAGGCCTCTGATTGGTCAGTTGCTAGCAGGCCACTGATTGGTCGGCTGCTACGAGGCCGCTGATTGGCCGGTTGTTACGAGGCCCCTGATTGGTCGGCTGCTAGGAGGGCCCTGATTGGCCGGCTGCTACAAAGCCCTTGATTGGTCGGTTGCTAGGAGGGTTCTGATTGGTCGGCTGCTAGGAGGCTCCTGATTGGTCGGCTGCTAGGAGGCTCCTGATTGGTCGGTAGCTACGAGGCTCCTGATTGGTCGGTAGCTAGGAAGCCCCTGATTGGTCGGCTGCTACGAGACTCCTGATTGGTCGATTGCTAAGAGGCCCCTGATTGGTTGGTTGCTAGAAGGCCCCTGATTGGTCTGCTGCTACGAGGCCCCTGATTGGTCGGTTGCTACGAGGCCCCTGATTGGCTGGCTGCCAGGAAGCCCCTGATTGGTCAGCTGCTACAAGGGCCCTGATTGGCCGGCTGCTACAAGGCTCATGATTGCTCGGTTGTTACGAGGCCCCTGATTGGTCGGCTGCTAGGACCAATCAGGGGCCTCCTAGCAGCCGACCAATCAGAAGCCTCGTAGCAGCCGGCCAATCAGGGGCCTCCTAGCAACCGACCAATCAGGAGCCTTGTAGCAGCCGGCCAATCAGGGCCCTTGTAGCAGCTGACCAATCAGGAGCCTCCTGGCAGCCAGCCAATCAGGGGCCTCGTAGCAACCGACCAATCAGGGGCCTCGTAGCAGCCGGCCAATCAGGGGCCGCCTAGCAGCCGACCAATCAGGGCCCTCATAGCAACCGACCAATCAGGGGCTTCGTAGCAGCCGGCCAATCAGGGCCCTCCTAGCAGCCGACCAATCAGGGGCCTCGTAACAACCGGCCAATCAGCAGCCTCGTAGCAGCCGACCAATCAGTGGCCTGCTAGCAACCGACCAATCAGAGGCCTCCTAGCAACTGGCCAATCAGGAGCCTCGTAGCAGCCGACCAATCACGAGCCTTGGCGCAGTCGACCAATCAGGAGCCTCGTAGCAGCCGACCAATCAGGGACCTCTTAGCAACCGACCAATCAGGGGCCTCCTACCAACCGACCAATTAGGGGCCTTGTAGCAGCCGACCAATCACGAGCCTTGTAGCAGTCGACCAATCAGGAGCCTTGTAGCAGTCGACCAATCAGGAGCCTCGTAGCAGCCGACCAATCAGGGACCTCCTAGCAACCGACCAATCAGGGGCCTCCTACCAACCGACCAATCAGGGGCCTCGTAGCAGCCGACCAATCACGAGCCTTGTAGCAGTCGACCAATCAGGAGCCTTGCAGCAGTCGACTAATCAGGAGCCTCGTAACAGCTGACCAATCAGGGACCTCCTAGCAACCGACCAATCAGGGGCCTCCTACCAACCGATCAATCAGGGGCCTCGTAGCAGTCGACCAATCACAAGCCTCGTAGCTACCGACCAATCAGGAGCCTCGTAGCTACCGACCAATCAGGAGCCTCATAGCAGCCAACCAATCAGGGCCCTCTTAGCAACCGACCAATTAGGGGCTTCGTAGCAGCCGGCTAATCAGGGCCCTCCTAGCAGCCGACCAATCAGGGGCCTCGTAACAACCGGCCAATCAGCAGCCTCGTAGCAGCCGACCAATCAGTGGCCTGCTAGCAACCGACCAATCAGAGGCCTCCTAGCAACTGGTCAATCAGGAGCCTCGTCGCAACCGACCAATCAAGGGCCTCCTAGCAGCCGACCAATCAGGGACCTCCTAGCAACCGACCAATCAGGGGCCTCCTACCAACCGACCAATCAGGGGCCTCGTAGCAGCCGACCAATCACGAGCCTTGTAGCAGTCGACCAATCAGGAGCCTCGTAGCAGCCGACCAATCAGGGCCCTCCTAGCAACCGACCAATCAGGGGCTTCGTTGCAGCCGGCCAATCAGGGCCAACCTTCGTTATAAGCGAGTTCGTCGTTAGCCGTGTACATGCACACGCACGCATGTGTACGTGCACACGCACGCACGTTTACGTGCACCCGCACGCAAGTGACGTGTACGTGCACTCGCACGCACGTGTACGTGCACACGCACGCACGCACACGTGCACATGCACGCACGCACGTGTACGTGCACACGCACTCACGCACGCGCGCACGTGTACGTACACACGAACGCACCCACGTGTACGTACACACGCTAGACAGAGTCAACGAGATGGAAAGGAGGGTCCCCACGTTACGGCACACACACTTACCTTTGGCTGGTGTGAGCGCAGGATGGCCTGGTTTTGTTCCTTCATCAACCTCAGCTCCGCCTTCATCTTATCGAAGACATCTCTAATAGAACGTATGTCGAAGCTCAGTTCACACTCTTACCGGCACACCAGAGCACACATGCACGCAAAATTCAGAAAGGATAGCATATCTGACTCAAAGATACATGAAAGTGACAACAGACAGCAGAAGGCTGATCAATAGAATCACTGCTGGCAGGACTTTCGCTTGAATTAATCGATTAATTGTGAATTCTGGATGCCAGTATAGGCCTAAAAAAAGACGTTTGTTTCCGCTAACCCGACCGAGTCCATTTTAAACCGCCGTGTCGAAACTTTTTATTGTGATCGGCAAAAAAAAATTAAAAATACCAACGTGCTATCGATCGGTGAATGCATTGATTTGATTTTGAAGTCATTATATGGGCTGTTATAAGTATAAAACAAGTATTGTTAGAATACAAAAAAAAATGATAAAAAAAGTTTTGCCTGCCTACCGTGTCCAATTTTTTTCAGCTTGTTAGCGGAAACAAACATCTTTTTTTCTTAGGCCTTATAGGCTTTTAAGCGATAAACTGGCATTATTACAACTGGCTGTCAGCTCTGACACCAGGGGCCGGTTTCACGAAGCGTAATTAAGTCCTTAATCATGATTAAATCACTAATCATAATTAACTTTCCGTACTTAAATTGAAGTGACTGTTTCACGAAACATTATTAACTTTAATCATGATTAAGTTAATCACAATATTTAATTCTACTCGGGAGCATGATTAAATCCACTAATCATAATTAGTTGCTAGTACTAGTATGTAGGTAGTACTAGTATAGTAAGTAATAAGTATGCTGCAGATTTTACAATTGAAAATTTTACTTTCATTTTTTCCCGATTAAATTATCTAAGATTAGCTGTACTAATTTAGTCATTATAATTGCAAATTAATTCCTTTTCATGTACAGATTTGCCGGTACTTTTGGCGTTGTCCGCCATTTTGAATACAGTGCAATTCATGTTTAAGTCGGCTAATTATGTGATTAGTTGAATATGCACTTAAATCGCTTCGTGAAACAGATTTTTAAGTATGATTAACTAATCATAATTACAGGAGGTTAATCATAATTAAAGTTAATCACGCTTCGTGAAACCGGCCCCAGACTTTCAAGTGACATGTAGTCAGCTTTAGGAGGACTCACTTCTGTTTGCTGTTCACAGTCTCTGTCTTCTGCATATCACTCACTAAACTGTTGATCTCACTCTCTATCTGTGCACACCACAGTAGTTAAGGCGAACATAACATAATAAACACAAACATTTATTGTGATTGTCCATATGAGATACGACTTCACAGTAGATGTTTCCGTTTCATACCAAACCACATTATGCATAGACAGATCGCAGTGCAAAAAGCAGGTCTCATTTCGACTGCACTCACATGACCATAAAACTCAAGCATACACGTATGCCAGTGGAAAAAATACACGGGGGCTCGGGGCGAATTAGCCCCCGAAATGCCAAAAAGAGCCCCCGTAAATTTGCATAGAGTTCAATGCAAACCATTGCAATTTCAGAGTGCTATTTTCATGCACGCGAGCTTGAAAAGTAGCCCCCGAAAAATAAATTTTATTTTTTTCCCTTACGTATGCACACGTGCAAAGTAATTTCAGTCACATAAAGGATATTGCTCAGCTTTGTTCGATGCTCGTCAAACTGAGACTGAAGCTGCTCTAGCTGGTCAGCCATCTCCTTCTTGTTCTTCTGCAGCTCCAGCCGAGACTTGCGCGTGTCGTAGTATCCGCCGGTCAGCGCCCCCCTGCGGCTAACCTGGTCACCTGCGTGCGACAAGCGAACAGCTATTTACAAGCAACTGTCGCAGAATGGTATTAGTTACTATTGCTATTGCTACTGTCCCTTGTTGCTGCCCTTACCGCCACTGCTGCTGCTACTATTGCTATTAACGATCATAAAAAATTCAATTACAAATTAGCACTCGTAAGCCAGTGCCAACGTCATGTTCGCTATGCATAACACACCTGCTTCGAGCTGAGGTGATGGTACTTGTCGAAGGCGTCGGACGGCAGGGAGCCGAGCTCGCGGATCTTAGTCATGCACTCCTCTTTCTTCTTCAGCAGCAGACTCTGCTTGCTGCTGATTTTCTCAAGGTCCTAATACCAGCCAGAGTAAAGAGAAAGACCCAGAGTGAATGAGAAACCGTAATTTTAGTCGCCCATCTAAAAAAAACTCAGAAAAAAACTCGTTTAATCGTAATCTATATAATCGTTTAATTTGCCTGAAACAATGCTGTTGATCCAAATTTGATCAATCCAGTGACGATTATTGATATTATTATCATTCTTGATCAATGAAAACAGTAATTATCATTAATGCCAACACGTATTTATTGCAGTTAATATGATAAACGCTTACTTCAGTCATGTGCGGCATTGTAAGGCACCTACTGCACATACAATGCGAATAACTTTACCCCTATTCACGCGTTGCAGACAGAAAGCATCCCAAACAAATGCATAATAGATTAATGCATAATAATTAACATGAATGCATAATAGACTGGTGAGCTCACTATCATATGTTTTAAGACGTACTTTTGAATCGCAGCTGATCTGTTCCTGGACTTCCTTCTCCTGGCTCCTCTCATCCTCCAGCTTGTTCTGCAGCTGCTTCTGCTCCACATTCGACACCTCTATGATACGGATGCTGCGGATCACTCAACACCGACCTTGATCCCGACTCCCGTGAACTGTTCGACAGCGTGCTGCTGCTGCTGCTCACTCTCTCCTTCCTCAGCATCGTCGTGGTCACCCTTACGCATGATTAACGTCGCGTGACCCTGCGGCGCAAGCTTCTTGAATATCTCACTGAAGTACTTCGATACCTACGAAGTGAAAAGCAGAGAAATCGTAACACGTTCGCGCGACCGCGCACGTTCCCGATCGAACACGTTCCAGAATTCGGGATATATACACAGAGACTACTTCCAGAGAAACAACCATCACCAGTCACAGCGATCAGAAACCAGTGAGCATAGATCCATAGCTTAGGAATCGCAGTTCCAGAGTTCAGGAATTACCGAGCACAGTTCCAGAGTTCAGGAACATACCGCTGTGCACAGATCCAGTTGATTTCAGTTCGGGAACCTTATAGTTTATCTCTCTAATAATCTCTTAACCTTTTTAAGTTTATACACGCATTTTCAGAGAGAATATGGCCGGCATCTCTGCACTGCATAGCAACACATACATCTACGACATGAGAATTAAGATTACGTTCGGTGCTCACCTGTTTGAACGTTAGCTGAATGGCTTCAAACTTTCTCTGCTCCAACACGTTCATCAGCTGCATTATCGACTGCAATAACGGTGAAATACAAGCAAGTGTCATTATGAATGACCATGCGCCCCATTACGAAAACCCGTACCACATCCTTTAGCACGCGTGCGAGCCTGGCACTACGCAATGGAAAAGCGAGTTGATATACACTGCGATCGAAACTTCTAGTGAAAGTTTACTGGCCCACTGAATCAGCAAGTAAAAATGTTACTGGTCCTTATAAGATGTTGCATTTCACGTTCGGACCGGCTGGATATTACGGAAGCATTTGCTCGTGCACCTGTCCGCATGCCAACGAACAACGAAGTAAACAGAAACTGGGATGAGAATACAGGGTAAAGCAATTAACTGCGCTGCCAATTTGACCAATAAAACGAAGAACAAACGTAGCCTTACATCTTATAATATTGTAATATTCATCATGACGAGGGGGCAATAAGTGCAGGAAATCCTGCCAGGTCATTGAACCGGCAAACATTTTACCGTCGTCAGCCCAACAAAAATACTTACCGGGTGAAAACCACTGGCCACTCGCTAATATCACATGCTGGATATATAGTTCACGGTACGTGAGGGCACCATCACTGGATGTAGACAGTCGGTGTTGGTTATGTTAGTAATATCAAAGTTAACAATGCAGTTGGCCTGGCTATTGACAACGTGGTCGGCAGGAGTTGATGATTTCGGTGTTACTCACATCATAGCCTCGATCCAGCTCCTCCTTGCGCTTTAACAGCTTCTCCTTCTGGTCAGAAAAGTTCACAAACTGGTCGAGAGCCTTTTTGTTCACGTGGCTGTACTTCTTCAGTTCTCTGTTTGCCTCGTCTAGCTTCTTGAAGAGCTGAAACGAGAAGAGACGCTTTAGTGACGTACACTTAAAAACTACTTTAACCTCACTTACAGAAAGTTCGGGAAAGTTTTTGGTAGATAATTGGGGATTTTGGCTACAAGTCATGGAGGCTGACATCTTGCCAAATTCCAGCCAATCAGAAGGCGCCTAAATCCTTCCTATGTTATACCGTTTGGGGAAAAAATTTCGCCGCCGGCCACGCCAGCGTAGGTGGTCGCACGACGTGCCGTTGCCACGGGCAGCGCGGGGTCAGGAGGTTGCTCAAAACATGGCACGTACGCAGCCAGGCGCCGTAACGGCGGCATCGCATTTGCAGATAGCATCTAGACCGCGCCCCCCCCCACGTGGAGCGCCGTACGACACTTCGTAAAAAGCTCTGTGATAGACAAAACTCTATACTCGGCAGTAGTGCCTGTCATCGCGTAGCGGCCAACGAGCGAGCGCGTCATCGCTGATTGACAGCATTTCTTGAGGTTTCTTGTAGGAGTCACTACGTCTTAGCCATGAGGCGCGCCACCCCAAAAAAAGTTTAGGGGCCGTTTGGAGATGGCCTCCTGCCGTCCATCACGAAATGTCGGTTGGATTGCGCCCAGTTTTCGCGTAGTGCGTTTTCAGACCCCTGTCTCAGATATCTGTCTAAGTGGACAAAAAGGGGGCGGCGTATTCGCGTTGGGGCGCGGCTTCGCCGCGAGCTGTGCGCTGCGCGCAAAAACCGGGGCCGCAAGTCCGTCCAGGTTTTTTGGATTTTTAACTAGTTGAGAAACAATCTTATCAGGTAAGAATTTTAGAATACATTTAGTCCCGTTAGTACTTACTTTAAACGTAAATTTTTTTTTTTTTACAATATACACCATAAAAAATTCGTGACGTAGTCAATTTAACACAGCAAATACGCACGCGTACCGCAACTCACAGCCGAGTCAATCCGGCAAACACGCTCCTCACAGCAATCGTGGGACAGACACGCACCTGTTTCCGGCCGTCACCTCGACTGCCGTGAAGAACTTGCGATCGCACTCAAAGTTCTCGATGAGCACGCCGTGGTAGCCATTGACAACGTCCTCCCAACCCTCCTTGCCCTGAAGCCGCTGTAACACCTTGTTCACGCTGTCAATGCCGTTCAGCACAGCCTGCAAGAGACGATAAGGCCACAATTAAAAAAATATTTGTTTGCCCTCACCCAACCCAGCCTGCAAAGTTTTGGTAGGTAGGCTTTTTTTTTGGTGGGGGTCTTTTTACAAATTCAGCATGGTGTCTACATGCTCGGGTGTGCTTGTGTGGAGATACCTTTTATGTTGAATGTTCGTTTTGCTTGGTACATATAATGTATTGCCTACAGATTTATATAATGTACATTGATAATTTGTAAAAAAAAATTAAATTAGAATCAATAAATTTTTTTGAGTCGGCCTCTTTTTGGCGGGTCGGTCGGGTGAGGGCGAACAAACAATGTTTTTATCATGGCCTAACAGATGCACATGATCACAGGTCAGCCATTCACGAAATGCAGCTTACTGTTGCCGATTCTTCAACACCTTGACTGAGTTACTGTCATCAGTGATGAAGAGAAGTTACAGTATAAACATTGTGAACATCTGTTGTGCCCATGTAAAGCAACCTAGTTTTGAAAGGAAGGCGACATTGGAGGGCGCGTTTTGCCCGAGTGTGTTACTAATTTCCATTTTAAACGCATCACTACGCTCACATCTGTACAGTAATATATATGCATGTGTAAACGTACGGCTTAGAAGGCTTAGGGAAGTTATTATACACAAACACACTTCAAACATTCTCGTAACGTATAATAAATTCTAGTTAAATACGCCACACTTCTCCTACATACTGTATACCAGCCCCTCCATGTTACACTCCAGCATTGCTGAAACAAGTGGCTAGCACCATGGAGAAAGCATGTGGAACACTCGATTGGTTACGTTTGTGACACCTTATCACACATAATAACGCCCTCATAACTTGTAACATCTTTTTTAGACGGTTAACGTCGGCTCACCTTGCCCGTGATGGACCGCAAGGCCTGCTCTGCCTTCGACAGCTCCTCCTTGGTGGTCGAGATGGCCTGCTGCATTGCATTCTCTTGCCGCCACAGCTCACTGAAAAGCGCGTGCGTGAAAACCAGCATGAATCGAGAGCGCACAAACGGGTTGGTCAGAATTTCGATTGAAATTTGTTACACATATATGCAAGTTACAGTGTATATAAAATCTAATACGATAATATAATCGATATCGATACATATATCTAAGTTACGATGTCACTACGTATTTGTATTTTTCATGGTAATAAAACCAATGTGAGAGACAGCACGACTTTATTACGTAATTATAATTACTAATCTCTAAATACACGACAAATATTCGTCATAATCTCACTGCACCGAGATAGGTGAGTTTAATGCATTACTGGAACAACTAAAATCCATAACATTAATATGTATTGTAATATAATGTAATGAAGTCAATTCAGCCAGAATAAAATCTCCAGCAGGATAATTGGAAATTATTGCCCCAAGCACTCAAGCACACAAAACAGTTAAAAAATATAATGAAGTGGATATCAGTAGAGGATAGTGCAAACTATTACAGAGTGAGTGAAAGTAGCAGAAGTACAGATTAGTACAGATTACTAGTGGCTAATGCTCATACATACAGTCAGTCACATATACCTAGGTTACCACAACTAGACTAGGAATATTCCAACCTGTAATCACATATATGTAGACTGCAAACCACTATGCAAAGCAAACAGTGACCTATTAGTAACCATAGAATGTTTTACCAGTTAGACCGTAGACCATACCGATTGCCAAGCTTGATACTTGGTAACTCACACGACCCAGGTAAACGTATTCATAACACACGCACAGATCCACACTCAAGCACGGACTAGCACAAAACTAGAGAGACATGATACAAGATTGCGTGGAACAGCTTTGCGGTTGATCCTGAGCGCTGCGCGCGGATGAGACGCGCAGTTCCGCGGGATATGCGCACGCGACCGCGGGGATGTTCAAGTATGAAGCGCTGTCCGCAGTGGAGACGTGCGCCAAATTTGAGGCCCGGCGCACGTCTACACAGCGGTCAGCGGATGGTCTGTAGTTTTAGAAGATAACAATGAAGACTTTGTTCTAAATAAGAACTATCGGCGGCTAAATAAGAGCAATATACAGACCTTTGAATTTCTTGACTAGTCAGTTAAAGGGCTTGTTGGGGGTCCATTATGCAGAGCTTCCAATCGAAATGGCCCATGAAATAATTATTGTCAAGTGGAATTGTGTTTTTCGGAACCCCAAAGAAAACGTCTCCCTCTTACATGCACCCTCTCCCTGATCAATCACACATTCAGGAGTAAACAATAACAGAGATGAAATTGTGTTGAGTTTATGGCTCTTGACGCACGTGCATTGACGTACAAGACTGATGAAAGCACAGGCACTTGGAACATCTCAATAAAAATAAATCTTCACACAATTTTTCACAATGATCGACCACCTGTGTGCAAAATAGGTGAACGTATGTGAAACATATACGGTTAGTACTTACTGTGACATAGCCATGACTAACTGATACCACTAAATTTGTAAAATGTTCCATGCACCTTAAGAAATGCTGAGAAATTACGAGGTTATCATCGCAGAACTCCCGACACTGCCCATCCTGACGTCACAAAGTTATATGTCACAGTCTGCACGAAAAACTTCCACCCTCATTGGCCCAGCGGGCCTGTAGAAATGTATAAGTCACTGGCCCACACTAGGTTTTACAGGCCCGAATCAATGATCATCATATTATGAAAAGAAAAACCGAACCGGACCGGAAACAGGAAGTTGTTGCGACCTCTAGCGGCGACAAACACGCATGGTGTTGACTAGTTACTTCCCCTACTTAAGATCGGGAATATGATGCCCTATCGGTAAATATTTGACTCGTTATAATGATGTACAGGTATGAACTTAACCAAACACAAACATGGCTCGTAAGTATGTTGAAATAACAGAACCTGGGCCTGCACTACGAAATGCGATTCCGCGCTGGATTAACCAGCAGAGCACTTGGGACAATATTTGATGCGACGTTATCACTGAACAAATGTGGTTTGAGCTTATCTTGTCTTACGGAAACATGTCAAACATAAGAGCTTACACATCACAGGAGATTACGCTTAAACATAAGATACTTGCACATACAGAGGAGATACGACTTTTATTTCGCACCTTCATATTACTGCGCATCAGCAGGTGCTTCTACATGGTCACAGGCATCAGCAGGTACAACAAGCTTCTACATGGTCACAGGCACCGCATGAAGGGCAGGCAGGCAGGCATGAAGGCAGGGTACACAGGTTAACCCCCGTCCCAGAAAGTAATGCATGCCTAAGATAGGGAGGATGCCCTAAGAGGGAGGATGCATAACTTACCTCTGAGGCTCTGAGCTTAATGCATGCTTAGCAGGAAGAGGACAGGTATACAGCTTAACCCTGCGCGTAATGCATGCCTAGCATGACTTGGGATGCAAAGCTTATAGGAATATTAATATAAAAATATATTATAGGAATAATTAATATATAGAAATATTTAGGATTTAGATTAAAATAGGAATAGAATATTAAGGATTATAGGAAACATCAATAGGAAATAATATTAAAAGTCCAAAAATATTATAAATAGCTCCACGAGTGCCTCCCACCCTTCACTGAAATGCATTCGCTATGGCGGTAATGGCATTCAACACCAGCTTGCTCAACCATAAATTTCTTTTTATGAAACTTTCATTAAAAAACTCTCTTATATAGCAGTGATAAGCACGTACACCTTGCAGACGCGTAAACTTTTCCACGCATTTGAAAAGCTATTACTGATGTGAATGTAGCTGTCAGTAAATAATTTATCATAGTCTTTTTATAATTGTCTATTATTGTCCATAATCGCTTGTAGTTGTCCGTAATTTGTCCAATGTCCGTAAAAAGTTTGCAATTTTTCACTTTGCTGACGTCCAAGGGTGATACGGGACGGGACTAGTATGATGGAAGGGCAGTTACTGTATACGCTGTATATTTCGCGGTGGTTTAATTTTCGCGAATTTCGCGATCGCGTCCCCGACCCGACAAATAACAACACGCCGTTCTTCAGTGATTCGGGAATCCACCGACCGCGAAATTAACCACTCGCGAAATTGTCCGGCACGTCTGAATTCGCGAAAATATCTGTACGCGAAAAATATAGCGCATACAGTACCTCCGAGGGTGATGCAGTCAAGGTTCTGCGTTCTCGCGAACTGCGTCGCGACTTCCATGCTGCGACAGATGAGCGTCTTGCCGAAGACGTGCTTCATGACGATGTCAAACTTCTCGCCGTACTTGAGATGCTTGATCATCGGCACAGCATCCTGCAACGACGTGTACGTCACGGTGAGCGTACGAACACGCACACACGCACAGACAGACATTCACGCACACACATGCATGTACGCGCGCGCACACGCCAGTACGCACGCATGTACGCGTGCGCACACCAGTACGAATACGCTCGCACCTGCGCACACACCAGGACACCAAGCATGCGCAAACAGACACGCACACACACGCACGCACGCACAGTCACAAACACTTGGTAGCATCCCACATTGGGACACTAACATACATCCATCTAACCCTGTCACTAGTATTCGTGTGCTTCTCCCCGCCCATAGCGTTACGGCAACCACATACCAACTTTTCACGTGTGGACAATAACACGTCAACTAATTCAAGCCACACACACTTCTACTTTATCTTATGTCACTGTATACACATCAAAAAACGCGTAACAACCCTGCTAGCGCCCTCTGCTGGTGACGGAGAGGCGAAACCTACGTGAGACTCTGGGTACGGCGTCTCCTTGTATTCTAGACGATTGAGAGGCATGAAGGTGACCTCCCCTGGGAGCTTCAGCTTGTTCATCTCACTCAGGATCTTCGTTCCATAACGATCCGACTCGACGATGTGATAGAACAACCTGTGATATATACACAATGTGTACACTAACAACTCACAGTAACCCCTGTCGTGAAACAAGGCCATAATAAATATATTGTTTGATTGCCCTCACCCGACCGAACCGCCAAAAAGGGACAGACTCAAAAATGTTTATTGATCTTTTCCATTCTTTAAAAAAAAAAATTTTTTTATACAAATTGTATCACTCATTGTACATTATATAAATCTGGAGGCAATACATTATATGTACCAAGAAAAACAAACATTCAACATAAAAGGTATCCCCACACAAGCACACCCGAGCATGTAGACACCATGCTGAGTTTGTAAAAAGACCACCCTCAAAAAATAAGAAGCCTACCTACCAACCCAAACTTTTCAGCCTGGGTCGGGTGAAGGCAAACAAAGATTTTTTTAATTGTGGCCTCAGACTCGGCTCGAATTGAAATAAAAGCTTGGACCAGCTCAAACAGGCCTTGTACATTCTACGAGTATGTGAATCGAAGCCACAAAGGCTTAAAGTTACCCAGGGTACGTGACAAAACGTCAACGTAGTAGCACGTCATTACTGGGCATTTTTTCTAGAATGCCTTATCGCAATCCAAACTGACTTGAGGTGCCAATCACGGATGCCTAGCAAATGAGTCAACGGCATAATGTGACGCAACGAACATGCAAACGTTCGCTTACTTGCCGCAGAAGCAATGTGGAGTAATTCTGTTCACTTATTATGGTTAAATTGCTGCATTATACTCCCTATTTTACTATATTGTTCGATGTAAACATACACTCGTGACTCATACATAGCCCATAGCAAGCAATTAATGTCAGGATCATAATATCAAATCGTCCAGCTTTTGTTGATTTTT